AACGCCTTGCTAAGATCGATTAAGGCTGCATGAACCGGCAGTCGTTTTTCTTGGGCTTCGCACCAAGCTTCACGTGCACCATGAGGTTTGTGGTGCACGATTTGCCTTTAACAAAGCCGTGTTGTTCTGTCGGTAGGATTGTGGCTCGCCAAATGTGGGCATCGATTTCGCAACAGATGAAGTTTTAAAGTACTTTCACAAACACCGAGGTCAGGTTGACTGGTTGATAATTATCGGGAAGAAAACGGTCGCCACCCTTGTACCTCGGAGTTATTACACTCTGTTTCTAGTCACCTTATACCGTTGCAGTGCCAAGCGTACAGAGAAACAGTCCTCTGATGCTCGGTGCAATATATTATTTCCAAGTTCCAGACCTTTACTGCAAAAACAATAATAATACTTAATAATAGTATTATTTTAGTGCACACTATTATTTGTTCTGGTCTCGTGGTAGATCACATAGTTCAGGAATGTTGAGTTTATCTGTGATAGTGATAAAACGGGCCTAAGATATTTTGCCCGAATTTAAATGATAAGCACCGTGGGTACGAATAGAGAGGTAGTCTGCTTCAAGGATGCTATAAATACAGAGCGCTAAAATATGCTTATGGTTATCCTTTCGGAATCATGGCTAGGCAACTATAACGTAATCGATAGCCCACGGCTAATACTATTTATTTTGCGGAGAGCAATGGGGACAACGCTAATTCCGACATTAAAAGCTAACCTTGTCATTCAACGCGTTTAACCAGATTAGATTTCGCTGCATATGAGACCTTTTTGTGGCCGAATTTTTGACATCATTTGGATACTCCACTAGACAAAGCAAAAATAAAAAGTGCAAATGAAGTGGAAAATCTGTTGTGAAATAGTATGAATAGTCGAATAATTGTTTCCTAGTATTTAATGCATTTTACCTTTTAGACTGACAAAAGCGTGCGCTGTGTATCAGATGTTGAAATAGCAGCATGGGCCTTCCATCAGAATATTCTGCCTTTTCACATGTCGGCCGCCACAGGCTCAGGTATCAATGAATCCTTCGAGGTTAGTCCATTTTTCGTTTAAATCATGGACTCCTTGGGCGCACAACATATCAAAGCAAAACGAAGGACAAGTATTTCAGCAGTATACAGTCCCAGGAAAGGATTTTAGAAAGGAAAACCCGGAAGACGTGATCACAAACACAGCAAATCTCAGTCCTCAAAAGCTGTAGCTGTAATTTTTTTAAATGACAGTCGACTTAGACATTTGAATGCTACGAACTAGTACGTTTAACCCATAAACTGACAGAAAGTATGGACATATGGTTTTGTCGCGAAAATTGAAATGAAAATGGAAATTGCTGAAAAAAGTAGAAGTTGCACCATGAAATCATTTTGATGAAAGACAAACCGACAAGCAAGAAACATTCAGAAAACTAAGCTCCATGAGTTTTTCCATACCCCTAATGTTTTAAGAATTGTGCTGTAATGCGGTCAGAATTTAAAAAAAACAAAAAAACAATGTTCAAAAACTCTTACTCAGAAACCAACGAATAATGAGTGATAAATACATGTGTTTGGTATGGGTATCGACTGTACCGATAGTGAATTATTTCTAGTCACTCGATATATCGCAAACGTATTGCACTTCCATATAACCACCTATAAAGTGTTCTAGAAATAGCACATTCAACAGTATCAACCGGGGGACAAAATTACAGACGCAGACTGAAACAATTTGTCTCCGCACAGAGCAAACCACAGTGGATCATTTAAGGCGAGATCCTTAGTAAACAATTGTTTTAGTCTGCATATTTAAAAATAGACAGAGAGACTAAATAACCTCATTGCAAAAATCTTTGAATAAAAATAAAAATTTCTAACATAAAAATGACATCCAAATTTCTACGACATTATAAATAGTGAATAATATGTTTAGAAAAGAATAAAAAGGCCAGTTCATCGTATATAAGTGGATACATAAATCGAATAGTAAAATTGGTACACGTCAATGGGTCAGGACTACCCAGTCTCTGTGTAATTTGTGGATCCTCAACAGTTAAATATAAAATTTTAACAGAAGTTTCGATTTTGCTAAAGCATGAGACGAAATCCAGTCAGCTTTTCCAGCAATTGCAAGTCTTCAAATGCCTCTGCCCTGCCTAACCAACCTGAAAATGCAGGCCATTTGACGGAGAAAGTATCTCGCGCTTGTTTGTTCAAACAAACGTCTATTATATGCTCCAGCACTTGTAATCGTAATGTTAATGCTTAACGCCTAAGCCACAAATAAGTTTCTAGTTGAATGAAGTACGCTTGCGCTCAGGACTTATACGTGTCTGTAACTTTAAACTGTGAGCTTTTCAGGAAATAAATGGTGCATTATCTATGTTTAAGCACC